CATTCTTTTAAGGCTCAGGAAGAAAGCTGACGGAATTGGAAATGCTCGGAGATTATGGAAGAGTTGGAGTTTGAGCACATAATCTTCCTTTGTAGCAACGTACTGACAAAGTAATGCTCAAGGTGACTGGTTTCCATGGCATGGGAAATCCACCCACTTAGCTGTTTCCTATAGATAGAAAACGGCTACCCCTGGTCAAGGACGCACCATCACCGGAGAAGAGTTTAGGGGCTTCTGAGGGTCAAGATTGCTGCTGCCTGCCCCGGGTCTCACTGTAGTCCAGGGAACTTCCTGCGGAAACCTTTATGATTAACTCAGTTCAAAATAACTCAGTGACGAACGCACAGCTCCCAGCCCAGAGCCTTCGGGCCACCAGCTACCGCGGGTCACTGTTAGCCAACCCCAGACTTACCGAGTGGGAAAATGGCTGAGCCTTTGTTCCGTGCCTCACCTGAGACCACGCACTTGAGTTGGAACTTAGAATCAGGAGGGGTTTCCTCGTGTGACTCCGGACCTCAGCTGGGGGTTTGCATCCTGCTCTGTCCACTTCTGACTTCTGTTACTTCACGAGGATTTGTTAATTTCTGATCTTTCCCCCCATTTCCTGCAGGTATGTCAACAGTTATTTGGAGGTGCTTCGTGGAAAGGAAAGGTAGGTTGGACGCTAGCTCTAAGGAGGCTCAGCACCGCGCGGTGTTATCCTTCTAGCCGCTGGCCCTTAAGGATTATCCATCCACGCATCAACAGCGTTGCCTTTTTGTTCCCCAGGAGAAGCACACACGCCGGTTGTAATCCACCGTGGTCAGTGATCTGGAGGTCAGTTTGCTGAAGTAGGTAGGGATGAAGTAACTTCCTTGAAGTGGCCGTCTCAGCTCGCATCTCCGCTCCTCGTCCAATTTGCTAAACAGAGAATCAGATGGGGTTGGGAGAATCAGTAAGCTGCGTCATACAAAGGCCAGCGCTGTTTTAGGTCCCACGGAAGCCTCGGAAGAACAGCATAAAGCATGTAACCTACGAGGAGGGAGGACCAGCGGAGACCGCTAGGCCTGTGTAAAGGCGCGTGGCGTGGAATTTCCCACGCCTGGACGCAGGCAGGCGGAGAACGCAGCGAGACTGCCTGCCCCAAAGAAAAAGAAGCGCGCCCCTTTCACATGGCGGGTGCTTCCAGCGCTTTCTGTGTACGCTCCACATTTCATCCACCGCAACCCCAATGAAACAAGTAATCTGTCAATAAAGGGACAAGTGAATCCAGAAATTGTTTTACAAAAGAAGTACATACAGTCAAGAAATGTATGGAAGAGTTCAACATCTTTAACTATCAGGGAAACACAAATGCAGACTATTTTCGAGACCTCACTGTGCCCAGTTAGAGCGCCTGTCATCAAGGTTTGGGTAAATCAGCACACGCTGAGGCGGAGAGAAAGGAATTCTGTACCACTGTTGGTGGGAACATAAATTAGTAAGGCGTTACAGAAATCAGCATGGATTTTCTCAAAAAACTAGAGGGCTACCACTTAGCACACACCAGAGGAATTCAAATTAGCAGGCTGTGGAGATACCCCAGGCCTGTGTTTACTGCAGCACAATCACAAGGGCTTAAGCTATGGAAACAGCACGGGGCTTGTCGACAGATGCACGGATAAAGAAAAGTATATGTGATGGAATATTATTCAGCCATGAAGAAAAATGAAACCGTGCCATCTGTAGGAAAATGGACCGAAACGGAGAACAGCAGGGGCCATGCAGAGCAGGACGCCATGGAAGAGGGCAGGATGTCCAGCCCGGAGGCAGAGGTGGAGCGGATGTTACGTGGCCCCGACCTTGGGGAAGGAGATGAAGACGTTTCCAAAGGTGGAGCCAAGAAGCCAACAGACACTTAGGAAACTCCGGGCACATGGGAGGACAGAAATATCAGGAGCCTTTGTGCCATGGGTTTCAATTGCCCTACTAACTGTGTGGCCTTAGGCAGGTATTTATTTTTGTGAGTCTTGGGTTAGTCATAGATAAAATTAGACGCACATAATAATATGCGGGCCATGGTGCCCTGAGGACAGTCCAGCTCAGCAGTCAGATGCAAGACTTGCTAACAGAGCATGCAGCCATGACGTGAACTTTCTGGACAGACTGCCAGCTTCTCAGATGGTGCCCCCGGAGCGCCCCCACTCCCCCAAGGTTGCTGCCTCGTGCAACAGGAAGGGAAGGCAAGTCCTTTCTGCAGCCCTTCCTCCGAGCACGGCACGCGGTGCAATGCTTCAAGTAGCCTCGAGGTGGCAGCATTCACTCAAGGATGGCGCACAGGCGCTGGTGTCTGGGCTCGGAGTCGCTCAAGTCGGAACACCTGCCTTTTCTTGTGCTCTGTCCCCTGGCCCAGCACCAAGTGTAAATATTCCGAAGTGAAGAGTTGCGCAGATCGTGGAAGAAGGCCAATCAGGGAAGGAGCGCAAGGTGTCCGATCTGCCCAGGAGCTGAGGGCTCTGGGAGAAAACAGAAATCAGAAAGCAGCTCTGTTCAGCGCCAGGGGGAACCGAGGGACTCTGCACACAGATTGATAATTTTGCTCAGCTTTGCATCCACTCAGGGCATGGTTCTAAGCTCCTCGCTGCCCAAACCCAGGCTCGTTGTACTTTACAGGATTAACAGTTGTCAGGTTAAGTTGCTCGAGTTTTTAGAATAATAATTCCCATTTGGCTGAGTGCTAAATTATTGGGTAGAGCCTGAGGTTTAGATTGATCGCGTCAGCTGTTAGGGTGGAATGTACAGCGGAAGATTTCTTTTCTTGTCAATTTCCTACCCCTCTTTTTCTCTTTCCTCCTCTCCTTTTTCCTCATCTGTCCCCGCCCCCGCCCCCCCCAGGTCTCTTCTTCTTTTCCTATTTTTTGTTTTCGTACTAATAAAATTAAATAACAAGGAGAAAATCTAGGCTGTAGAGTTGAACATATGCGTCAGGAGATCAACTGCTACAGAAACCTCAAATATAACTGGATAGTAAAGAATGACAGGAGCTAAAGGCAGATGTCCGGAGACTGGGAGGGCGACAAGGGGAAGGGAGAGGAAATGATTAAGACGTGCCCTATACCTGCGACCATTCCCCCAAACAAATGTAACCATTCCGGATTGTAGCGGCACTGGGTAACAAGAGACACTGCATTTCTCAAAAGCTTTTCTCTGTGTAGTGAAATCATCTCCGTGCTTCATTCTGCTCCGCCGTGCGGGACTGATTCGGACCGCGCTTGTATTTGCGAGGCTGTCCGCGAGCGCTCCGGCTGATGATGTTCTGCCCGCCCTCAGCTTTCCGGCGGGGTCGAGCTGCGTGCGTCTGCATCTGCAGTAGACTAAGATAAGCTGTTGCTAGGCTTCTCAAAATGTTTCTGTCCTCTAATAAATCTGGCTTCATTACCACTCTCTATTTCTTAATTTTATAAAAGAGTCATTTATCCGAACAATACATTTTTGCGTGGAGCTATTTACATGAGAAGCAAGCAAAAGTTGGGAAGTAAATTTACTTTTGAAACTACTGTCCTGGAACGTGAGCCTGGGAGAATCTGAGAGAAACAGGAGCTTCTTCTTGATTCCGAGAGCGCTCTTACTCTTCATCATCATTCTCGTTACTAGAATTAGTATTTTAGGAAAGGGCTTAAAGGGCGTTCAGGTCTCACTGCTAGATCAGACTCATAGTGATCCGCCTGTTTACAGCCTCCCAAGAGCCGGGATTACAGGTGCGCGCCACCATGCCCAGTCTCAACTGCCACCTCAGCGTGCCCCTGGGGACGGCCTGGCATGGCAGGCCCGGGGATCGAACCGCTGGCCCCCACTCCTGTTGGCAGGCACTTTAAACTGCTGAGCTGTTTGGCCAGCTCTTACTTTCCTTATTGATCTCACCAAAGAGAAGGAAGCAGTGCAAAGGGGCAGAGACCTCGGGGCAGACAGACTTGGGGGCTGCCTCCCTGGCACTGCACAGCTACAGGGACTTCTCTGGTTCATTCTTCCTTCCAGCTCTAAAGTCAGTCATTTCTCCAAGGAGCGCTGCTTTCTTTTACTGGAGAATATTATTAGAAAAAGAGCTACATGTTAGGTGTCACCTGAAGTTCTCACACTTGTAAAATTAGAGAAATAACTTCTCATAGAATAGTGTGCAATTGAAGTGAAAGAGTGCATATATATAACAAAGATTTTGAAACTCAGGAGGCAGATGGTGTCTATTAAGTCAGAAAATTAAAATTAACGAAGCATGCAGAACCCCCTGCCTCTGGGAGCTCCATGTTGAAACTCACCCAAGACCAAGTTGACCGGAAGACAATTTCCTGAAAGTGTTTTGTTTGACAAAGCTCTGAACTTGGAGCTCTGTAGGCAAAGCTGGCTTAAAACAAAATGGAGATTTTTTTCCCCTGTATTTAGGACAGGGTCTACAGCGTCTACAGGGTCTCATTACATCGGTCAGACTCGTAGTGATCCTCCTGCTTTCAGCCTCCCAAGCACTGGGATTACAGGCGCGCACCACCATGCGCAGCCTTACTTGCCATCTCAGCGCGTCCCCGGGAAGGGGCTGGTTCGGCACGCTGGGGATCGAATCCCGGCCCCCGTGCTCTGCTGAAGCAAGCACTTTCGTCCGCTGAGCTATCTGGCCAGCCCCAAATGGAGATTTTTGATGTAGTTTATTATCCGTGAACGGGCCATTTAAACATTTCTCCGCCCTTAGTCGGAGAAACAGTCACCTCCCAGCGCAGGGTAGGGTTGGATGCCCCAGGTGGCAGCTCACAGAGAGCAGCTGTGCTGAGAACTCCTCCTGATAACCTCAGCCTGTGACCCAGGGGTGACGCTCTGCCCCTTGAGGGGGGGGGGTGTTTTGGGCATTGTTCACGTCCCAGTAACGTTTCAGCTCCCCTGAGAAAGTACTGTTCTGACTGCTTGTTTACACGTCGCTGGGCTCTGGGTTGGAGTTGGGGCCTTGGGAAGCGTCTCTCCAGACGCTCCTTCCCCTACGTGAGCACCGTCTTCTCAGGGACCCTGGACTGCTCACCCCAGTCGGTATGCAGCAGCAGAACTTCTCGCATGCTTTTATTCAGTGGCCTCAGGAAATCTTTTACTGTCTGAAATCCAAGGCCTTCAGAGACCAAACAGATTTTCTCTTCTTTTTAGACTTCAAAAAGTTTCAGTCCTTGGAGACAGTTCTGGATTAAGATAGCCTCGCTCCCAAGGACACAGGTAGGTTTCTCTGGCTTTCTTTTAAAGCCAGTCTTCAAACTGTGGGTGGAAATAAAGGGCTGAGCCAGGAGCATGCGGCTCGGGTGCAGGAGGAGGGCTCTTCACTCCGTTTTCTCCGGGATCCTCTGCCACATCTCACAGGAGCAGAGTCAGAGGAGACTGCTGGAGGTGACTTTGGCTCCCTGCTACTTAGGCAGCCACTGCCGTAGTCACCGCTCGATGGGATGCTGCTACCAGCTGGTGTCAAGGCCTGGAGAACGAGTCCATGTGATTGACTTGTGATGTAATAGAGATAAGTTTGTTTGTATTGTGGCGCTACCGCAGGCCTCCTGGGCCCGTTCTCCCGTATTTGACCTGACTTTATACTCTCCCGACACAGGGAAACTTCCCTATAGTTTCAGAGCAAGTAAGCACCATTAAAACTATTTTTCTAACTCAACTTCTGGGATTCTAATTCATTCATTCACTTGGCAGGCATGCAAGCCCAATAGGGCAGCCAGTGGGTGGCCAAGCAAAGAACACTCACAAGAGACAGACTTCTTTCTTCCCTCATGGAATTTAGGGATAGTACTGATGATCTTATCTGGACTTCCCCAAAGAGGAGGTGTGGTTGGGAGTGGTTTTTCCAATCTCTTTAGAAGAAAGTTTGATGAAACATTTCTATTTCCAGACATCTGGATGGTTTAGTGCTATCTCTTTACAGCAATAGAAACCAATTTAATTTATTTTTGTAATGCACTTTTTTTGAACTCAGGACCTTGCGCTTGGCAGACAAGCACTTATTCTACTGAGCCATCTCCCCGGCCCCTTCAATTCACTTTCATTAGACATCTTTCAATGCTCTTTTCCTTTCAAAGCTCCTGGTGAAATTTATTTCAGGCTCATGCACGAGAGGGAAGGAAACAGCAGCAATACAGCGACACCTCTGTTTGCAAATGCTTCTGTTCATCAACAATTTGCTTGTCAAACAGAAGCATCTGCTAAGTCTTGCTTCCTGTCTCAAGCTATGCACTGGGTGACGCACATGGCCCTGGCTGGCTGTCTCTCCCAGATCCGCGGAGTGGGGTAAGCTGTGAAGTGAGGTACCACTGCACAGCATTAAGATTTGGATTTAGCTCATGGTTTTTCAGGGCTGCCGCTAGGCGAATGAGGCCTTTGCTCTGCACCCTGATGCCGGAGTTCTTCCTGCTGCTCTGAATCCAGACACATTTAGCAAGCATCGAGCACAAAGGGAGAGGGTTGCTCATCAAGAGACCCAGAAGGGTCTGGAATATTAATTGTAGATAGATGAAGAACTGCCCAGTCAGTAATGTGAGCAGAAGCTGGCCCTACAAGAGTATCCATGTATGGAATCCTAGTTACATGACTCTTGCCTGCCTAGGCCCGGGCAGGCCTCACCATGGGTCACCGTACATTGCTTCTGCTACATTAGGGACTACACACATGCACCAAAAGTCAAAACAGGTGAGAAAGGTTGTAAGGGGAAAGTAAGAAAAAATAAGGGAAAGTGCTGCTGCTCAGTTGGAAATGTACAACCATGTGAAAAAAAAAAAGGCTGGCAACTATAAAATTCCGGGTATTTGTTCTATGAACATGAGAAGACATCTAGAAAGCTGCTACTGAAGTGCTGTGCATAACAGTGAAAACTGGAAGCCAGGGGTGACGTCAGAGCAGGGTCCCCATCTCTACAGAGCTTTCTATGATGGCTCAGCAGTCATGGTTCACAAGAACCATACTGGGCCTCTGTCTTCTTTTGTGTTTTTGCAAAGGGCTCCTCACCGATCTTTTTTTTTTTTTTTTTCCTCTGTTTTCATTTATTACCCCCTTTAAAAAAAAAAAAAAAACATTTACTTAAGAGGCAGCATAACAGTAATTGATATGATATTAGAAGCAGAAACTATCATTATTTGCAGATGACATGATACTTTACTTGGAAGACCCAAAAAACTCCACCAAGAAGCTACTAGAATTAATACCAATCTTTCGCAGTAGCCGCTCTCCAAGGCAAGGAGGAGTGGCCTGGAAGCGTGTTCTAAGGTCCATGCCTCCTTGCCCCACCTCTCTTCCCTTCTCTTCCCTCCATTGAGCCTGTCCCCACCACCCACACTGCTGCAGAGGCTGGGAAAGCCTAGGAGGCTTACACTGGGGAAAGGCAGGGGTAGGGCAAGAGCTCTAAGGTCAGGACACAGCCTTTCTGCAGACCTGACTACCTCCTGGCTCACTGTTCTTTTTGGATGTTTTTCATGCAGTAGGTCCAAGCAGGAAGCACAGGCTCAGAGAAACAAAGAGAACAATAGCTCGTCTTTGTGTGCGCCCTTGTTCCAGTCACCTCACCAAATATTTACTTCTGTGTGCAGGGAGCTACGGTTGGCTGGGTGAGGCAAGAAGGAACAATTGCAATCTCTGGCCCAGAGGTCTGCAGCATGTCAAGGGTGGTTGACCAATTAATAGTGTGACTGTCAACCAAAGTGTAGGGCTTGGTAGGTACAAGGAAGGAAGGATTTAGCTGTAAGTACTCTTAGGGAATAATCTTGCAAATATACTAGAGACTGTGTTTAAGATCTCTGGATTTAATGTATGTATAGACACAGGTAACTGTGCTACTAATTTCTGTGGGTCTACTGAAAGGAGTAGCTAATGCTTAATTTTTTCCTCCTTTTTAATTTTTATAACTTTTTGGGGCCAGTTTTGTATACTTATACCTGATAATCTGAATGACCAATGTAAAGACAACATAATGATATGACAACCATTGTTGAATTGCTATCATTTTGTTTAGTGAAATTCTGTATCTCTTTGAATGTATTTTTAAAGCTATTTTTTATTCTCTTTAAAAATATTAAACTAGGGCCAGCCAGATAGCTCAGCAGATTAAAGCACCTGCTTAGGCAGACGCAGGGGCCAGGGGTTTGATTCCCAGCATTCAGTGCTGGCCCCACCCCTGGGGCGTGCTGAGATGGCGATTGAGAAAAAAATATAGGAGAGGAATGCTGGGAGGCCAGGTGCCCCCACAGTCCCCATGGTCTTCCACAGATAAGTAAAATAGAGCTATGAGAACTCTAAGGAAGCCTACTTTTTCTTCTGGCAATTACCAGCCCTGAGGAGTTAAAGGAAAGGTTTGTCCTATGTTGAAAATGTGTTAATCTTTTTTCTTTTTAAATGTACTTGATACAGGGTCTCAGCAGATCGGGCTCATCGTGATCTTCCTGCTCTCAGCCTCCGCAGCCCTGGGGTTATAGCTATGTGCCACCAGGCCCTGTCTCAGTGGCCGGCTCAGCCCACCTTGGGGCTGGACCAATGCAGCGTGTGGTGCTGGCGATGGAACCTGGTCCTTGCACGTGTCTGAACAGGCACTTAGCCTGCTGCGCTAGCTCACCAGCCCCTAAATGTGTTAATGTTTAACACTCATGTAACAATGGCCTATTCCCTGTTTTGCTTTTCTTTTCCTCTTCTCTTTCTCTTCCATACTGTTTTGAGCAAAGAACTGCCCAAGACAAACACAAATGTTAACAAGGTTTTTCATTTATTAAAGATAGGAAAAGAAACATGCTCTGCAAAGAAAAAGTAGGAAAAGAGGTATACAGTCCTCTTTCTCCTCTTCCTCCTTTTCTTTTGTTTTTATATTGAGGATTAAAACAAGGGCCTTTACTCCTTTTAAAAAGTTTTTTTTTTTTTTTTTTAAATTTTGAGACACAATTTTGTAAGGTTGCTAAAATGCCTAGTTTTGGCTTGAATTTGTGTTCCTTCTGCCTTAGCCTCTTTGAATGCTGGGATTACACGTGTACACAAGCATGTCCAGGTTATTTCCTACTCTTTTATAGCAGGATATTGAGCCCAGAGATGAAGCACAGCCAGCCAGCTGGGGAAGGAGACATGAACTATTAATTGCAAGATCCCAGTACACATTCACGGGTGCCGAAGCCCCACACATGGACTTCTTGTGAGAATGCAAAGGATTTTGACAGGCTGGCCTGGATCTGACGTCAGCTCGAGAAGAGGGCAATATAAAAGGACAGTCTTCCCAGAGCTCTCACAGTATCCCCGCTCACGCTGGACAGCAGACCTTTTCCCTACATTCTCTTGACCTAAACTTTCTTTGCAGAACATGTTTCTTTTCCTACCTTTAACAAATGAAAAACCTTGCTGTAAAAAAAAAAAAAAAAAGATTAGATCTCCCACTAAAGGGTTTTTCACATTCATCATATTGATAGGGTTTCTCTTTAGTGTGACTTCTTTTGTGCACATTAAGGTAAGAATTTAGGCTACAGGATTTCCTAAATTTATTACATTCATACAGTCTCTCACCAGGGTGAATTCTCTGGTGCAAAAGGAGGTGAAGGCTCTACCAGAAAGACTTTCCACACACCGCATCCCTATGTCCTCTCTGCCATGGTTCCTCACGTGGTGAGATGGAGAGGAAGACTTCTTGAAGGCTCTCACACTTATCTCTTAGACTTTCTGCCCAGAGTATGGCCTCAAACTCTGAGAGGACTGTGTGCTCTGAGTCAAAAAGTACTCACTTTCTTTACATTCATGTTTCTCTCCCACATTATTTACCTCATGTATAGAACGCTGTATACTATGCTGGATATATTTATTATGTTCAATCAATGCATAGTTTTTTTAAAGGCTTTTCCATATGTATTGCTTTTATATCATTTTTTTTCACACCAAGATTTCCTAGTGAATTTTTAAATAAAGCCACTCTGAAAGCTGAGAGAGAGAGAGAGAGAGAGAGAGAGAGAGAGAGAGAGAGAGA